GATGCTGCTTGGCCTGCTGTGTTCATCCAGCCCTGCACCTTGTTGTCCCACAACAATGTGGTTGACTCTTAACTGCCCTCTAGGCAAGTAGGGATGGGCAATAAATGCTGGCCCAGCTAGTGAGGCTCAGAATAAAAAAAATTCTCCACCATCAACAGGTCTTCTTGAGACTTTCTTGCAGGCTCTTTTTTGATTTTATGGAGCCACTTTTTAGTTCTCACTAACTCATTCAGTGATGCAGTCACATAGTAGCAACAAATATACTTTTGCAAGAGTCCAAATATCTTAAGAAGAGTAATACATCAATATTCTGAATAATGATAAATCTTCCATTAATGCATTCATTATGTCTGGGTGTTTTAAGTTTAATGCCTTAAGACTTCACAATACTTTAACTGGCACAAGACAACATGCATAAGTTAGTAACAAAAGTTTATTTTCAAAATAACTAACATATGTCTACACACAAAAAAAAAAATCACCCCAAATACAGCTTCTGCAGACTAGCAAGATCACAAGGCTGGAAGATTTTAAGCAGCTACTACCGTTTTCACTGTGTCTTGGGCTTAAATTTAAGAACTGTCAGAGGGTTCAATACAATAGCAGGCACATTCCACTCCCATTTCTTGCTCCTGGAAGTCCGGAAAGATGATTTCCAGCTTCCCTGGCTGCAAACAACCGATTTCCCCTTTCTTGAAAAGTATAACACTGTTCACTCTCTTTTGGAGCCATCCTCCCTCTTCTCCCTCTCATTGTACCATTCCCACCCATTCCAGTCTTCCTCTCCTGACTTCTAGCTACACAGCTTAGAGGAAACACTGGTGCCAAGCATTGCACACCGATCCTTGTGGTACCCAACTAGCCACATGGTAAAAGATTTATTTATTTATTCCCACTCTGCTTCCTGTCAATCAATTCTCAAGCTGTATTCAATATATTGCCTCCTATCTCATGAGCTTTAGCCTTGCACATTAACCTCTTATGAGGCCTTATCAAAAGCCTTCTGAAAATCTAAACATAACACATCCCACTGGTTATCCCTGATCAATTCTACTAGCTACATTCTCAAAAAAGCTTCATTCTTAACTTAAAAAATCACAAAATGCTTTTCTTTAGAAACATTTACCTGAAACAGCTTTTCTGTGCTGAGCATCCAGGGCCTGGTCAATTTCATCGAAGAGATAAAAGGGAGCTGGGTCACATTTTTGAATTGCAAAGATTAAAGCAAGTGCCACGAGGGATTTCTGACCCCCAGAAAGCTGCTGCATTTCTCTCATTTCACCTTGTTTCCCTGTAAAAGACACCTGCCAAACAAAACAAAGAGAATTAAGATAGAGAGCAACATACATTTGAGGGGATTGCAAAATCTGCCAAGCACCATACAGGTATGCAAAGCATTTACAAACAGTATATTTTGGACAACCTAATCATAATTGTCAAGGAGTTAAATAAGAAGTTAAATAATGAACAAGTCAAGGGGTGCACTAAATTAATGTTGTATATGAAGTTGCCATCACCAAAACTAAACCGAAGGAGTTAATTTTGGGGATATTTCTAGAGGTCGTCAGCAAAATACAATTCTGGCAGTGAAGAATCTGGAAAGATTAGCCAACTATCAGATGTTCAGAAATGAGTTCTGCCTTATAGTCAATAAGAAATCACGCAATTTTTGGGGTTCAAGCATCCCAGAAGATAATCTTATAAAGTCTTGAATCTAACACTTAACAATAAGCTGATGCATATTTCCATTCCAATCACAAGTGAGCCTTGGGTTAATCTAATCTGATTTACAGAAACAATGGTCATATTTCTGGCAGTGAGGTTGTAGACATGCTCACTGAGCTGGTGGGTTTCATTCTGTCACCCTGCTAGGTAACACTGTCAGTGCGCCTCTGGTGAAGAGTTGGTGTTCTGTCCTGCTTGTTATTTATGCGCCTCGGTTTGCTGGGGTGGTTGGTATTACTTCCAGTTCTGTTTCTCGGTGGTTTGTATATCAGGTCTAATTCAATATGTTTGTTGATGGAGCTCCAGTTGGAATACCAGAGCCTCCAGGAATTCCCTGGCATGTCTCTGTTTGGCTTGCGCGATTATCAATGTGTTGTCCCAGTCGAATTCGTGTCCTCATTGCCCGTGTGTAGGGAGATAGGTGAGAATTGGTCATGTGTCTTGGTGATTAGTTGGTGTTCATGTATCCGTACAGTTAATTTTCTTCCGGTTTGGCCTACGTAGTGTTTCTCACAGTCCTTGCATGGTATTTTGTATATTATCCCAGTTTTGCTGGTTTTGAGTATGGGATCCTTTACGTTCGTCAGCAGCTGTTGTAGGGTTATTGTTGGTTTGTGGACTACCCTGATACCTAGGGGTCCGAGTAGTCTTGTGGTCATCTCTGAAATATTTCTGATGTACAGAAGGGTGATTAGTGAGTCTGGTCGTGTTGTGTCTTCCTGTTGTGGTCTGTCTTGGAGGTAATGGCGGATTGTGCTTTTTGGGTACCCATTCCTTTTGAAGACTCCATATAAGGCGTTCCTGTTCTGCTTTGCGTAGTTCTGGGTTGCTGCAATGTGTTACAGCTCATGTAAATAATGTCCTGATGCAGCTCTGTTTGTAGGCGTTGGGGTGGTTGCTAGTGTAATTGAGTATCTGGTCTGTATGTATGGTCTTTCTATATATCCGAGTCTGGAGTTCTCCGTTGTTTTTGTGTTCTACCATTATGTCCAGGAAGGGTAGTCGGTTATTGTTCTCTTCTTTTGTGAATTTTATCCCAGTAAGGATGTTGTTTGTGTGTCGGTGGGTTTCTTCTAGTTTTGTGCGTTTGATAATCACAAAATTGACATGTACATGTTGGACCCAAATATGCTCCCCACTATACAACTCATTGAATTAGACCCTGTGTACAAACCACTGAGAAACAAAACCGGAAGTAATTCCAACCATCCCAGCAAACTGAGGCATATAGATAACAAGCAAGACAGAACACGAACTCTTCACCAGAGGCGCACTGATGATGTTACCTAGCAGGGTGACGAAACGTTTGCAAACAAACCCACCAGCTCGGCGGGCACGTCCACAACCTGAGCTACAATTCTTCTCGAAAACTTTAAATTTCTGGCAGTGTTATGTTAATATCTCCATGTAGATAAATAAATGATTCATTTTTAATTTATAAAACTGAATTATTAGTTCACCTGCCAATACAGTAAACAGAAATGTGTTAAATATTGAGCTAACCTTTCTCAATAATTGAATTTAGAAAACAGCAGACACTTAACCATAAATAAACAACTGCAAATACCAAAAAGGATTAAACTACAGAACACAATAAAGTCCATTACTTACCCGAATTCCAACTCCTGTGAATTGGTCAACAGATGGGACACTACTCTGAGATGCACTACCTTCACCTTCGTCCTGTGACTGGCTTCCTTCCACATCACCTTTCTTCATAACCAGTGATGCTTTACCACCAGGAACTAACTTTGTGAATACTTCACTGAAATTCTTAGACACCTGGTCACAGCAACATCATGATTTAATATGTAAGAATATTTCATTGGCAGGAAATGAAATAAGATGCAATCATACATTTTGATTTTTCAAATTTATGGACGGATGAAGTAAATGCATTAAAAATTGCAGTGTGTAGCAACATTAACTCTCTACACGGGAATAGGTCCCAGGGAAAATAAACTTGGGAAATTAAATACAATGAAATTTGGTGAAACGTGGCCTTTAAGTCCAAATACTTTGCAGCATCAATAAAAAGACTGCTGCACGGAAAATTTTCTAACTTAAACTAAAACCATAGAAAAAAAGGAATAGTTCATTCATCCCTTCAAGCCTACTCCCCGTGCAATCTGATCATCCAACTCCCTGTCCTGGGTTTCACCCCCTACCCTTAAGAAATATATTGAACTCCTTCTTGAAAACATTCAATCTTTGGCCTCTACTGCTTTCTCTGCCAATGGAGTACCAAGGGTTTGTTACTCTGTGGGTGAAGAAAGTTGTCATCTGCAACCTAAATGGTTAGCGCATATACTTAGACTGGGATCCCTGGTTCCAGAACCCGACCACCGCCAACCCCCACCCCCACCACACCCCTCAAACAAGTATTTGGGAATATCCATCTTGCATTTACCCTGTCTAATCATGCCAGAATTTTACAGGTTTCTGAGATCCCCCTCATTCATAAACTCCAGTGAACATAGTCCTAACCAATCCACAATCTCACTTCACGTCAGTCCTGCCAACCCAGGAATCAATCCAATCAGTCTGGTAAAAGTTTTCTGCACTCCCTCCATAGCTAGGACATGGTGACCAAAACTGCACACAATAATCCAGTTAGAAATATCTCATTTAAACTCTCTCCAGGGCTTTAACATGCTTCAATAAGGTTCCCAGGACTGACAACACTCCAACGTGGTCTGACCAGTGATTTCTAAAGGTGTAGCATCACTTCCTTGCTTTTACACTCTATGCCACTATTTATAAACCCAAGGATCCTACAAACCTTCTTAACAACTGTTTCAACTTGCCTGGCCACCTTCAAAGAATTATGCACTTGAACCACGAGATCCCTCTGCTCCTGTACTCCCCTTAAAGTTGTACCATTCATCCAGTGATAACAAAGTGTGGAGCTGGAGGAACACCAGGCCAGGCAGCATCAGAGGAACAGGAATGCTGACCGACCCGAAACTTCAGCTTTCCTGTTCCTCTGATGCTGCCTGGCCTGCTGTGTCCCTCCAGCTCCACACATTGTTATCTCTGACTCCAGCATCTGCAGTTCTTGCTATCCCATTGATCCAATATTGTCTCTGTGTTTGTTCTACAAAAATGCATTACCTCACATTTCTCTGCATTGAAATTCATCTGCCAGGTGTCTGCCCAATGTCCAACTTGTCAATGTCTTTCTGCAGTTGCTCAGCATCACCCTCATAATTCGCTATTCTACCAAGCTTAGTATCTTCTGCAAATTCAGACATTTGCCCTCAACAGCCATCTCCAAATTGTTTATATAAATCAGAAAAGCAAAAGTCCCAACACTGATCCCAAAACCACATTCAACTCGTTTCCAATCTGAGGAATGCACATCTACACCTACCCTCTGTCTCCTATCCTTTAGGCAACCTCTAATCCATGCTGCCAAGGACTCATCAATCCCAAACATTTCTAACTTGCTAACCAAGCTGCCATGCGGCACTGTATCAAATGCTTTCCGGAAGTTTAAACATTCAATATCCACAACTCTACTCTCATCCACTGACTGTGTCACCTTGTCAAAGAACTCAATTAAACTTCTCAGACATGACCTGTCCTTGACAAAGCCATGTTGGCTATCTAGTATTAAGTTAGCTTCCTTTAACTGTATATTTATCTTATCCCATATTATAGTCTCCATCAGTTTTCCCACTAGTGATGTCAAGCTGACAGGTCTGTAGTTTCCTGGGTTATCCTTTGCCCCTTGCTTAAGCAATGGTGTCACATTTGCAATCCCCCAGGACTAATGATGAGCTCAGACAGGCCTGGAAAATTTCTATCAATGGCTCTGCAATTTGCTCCCTTACCTCTCCCAGCAATCTAGAATGTCCCCCATCCAGGCCTGGTGACTTCTCTACCTGGTGTGCTGTCAGCTTTTTTTAGCACCTCTTTTTTATCTATAATATAATGCAGCAGTTCAAGCTTGCTTTCAAATAAAGGGCAGTGAAAGTAACTGTAAAAGTGCCTGACTATAAAGATTAGAAATCTTCTGATTTAAAAAAAAAATACATTCCAGTTCCCACTCCCAAAGGAATAGGAATGATTCTTTTTCCATTAGGTGCAAACTGATAATTTCACTAAGAGGCCTTTATTTATGACTGAGCACAAACAATAAACATAAATAGGTTATTCATGCATGGGCAAATACAGCTGAGCCCAATCTCATTACATGTAATCTTTTTCATTCATTTGCACTCTACGGATATCAGAAGACCCACGTTTGTTGTCTACCTTCATGTACCTTAGAAGGTGGAGGTCCTTCTGTCTGATCATTTATAGTAGTTAGATACAATTCCAGGGCTTGTTAGGCCACTTCAGAAGGCAGTTAAAGAGTCAACAAATTCAGCTGTGGGGTCTAGAGCTACAAATAGGTCAGTCAGACCCAATTTAAAAAATAAGGCCACTTTCACGAAAGGACAGTGAACCAAAAACAGTTTTACGACAATCCAGCATTTTTGTTATTATCTTACAAGTAGCAGCTTTCTCTTTCTGGATTCATTGAACTGGAAGTACAGGCCACTAAAATAGAGGCCCAGAAACATTACCAATATACCACCAGACTGCACATCCAGTGTTTAATCATTGGTCGGTATTGGACAGAATGAATTTTGGCCAATTTTCCTTTCCTAGTGCAGGACACTACAGCCAATTTCAGCACATTTAATACTTCAGCTGAGGTCAGCTAATACTGCAGAGATCAGTGGTTGAACATAGGATCTCAGTGGCTAAGCCATTCACTGAACAAATTCACTGACGCATTGGAAGTTTATTAGTTTAAAAGTTAATACATTTACAGCGAGCTTTATACTCTGGCAGTATAATTCTGGCAACAATAGAGCAAAATGCAAAGTTGAGATGATGCCAGGATACAGCTTCCCCTCTCCCCCCACCAATGATTTTAAGGTTAGTTTGTTTCCAATGATCTTTTCACCAGAGTAAGATATAGAATTCTCCTCAAACGCTTTACACAAGGTGCTCGCATAAACACCACTTACAAGTAAAACAACTTGAGTACATTTCACTAACATGTAATCCAGAAGGTCAACAAAATTATTAACTACTGTCATGAGTTAAGTAAATGGGCAAAAAGTTGGCAAATGAAGTATAAAATGGGAGAATGCTAAGCTGTTCATTTTGGAAGGAAGAACAAAAAAGAGCAGAATATTATTTGAATAGAAAAAAAAACTGTAGAAAGCTGCAATACAAAGGAAGTTGGGGTACGTGTATACAAAACACAAGAAAGCTAGCATACAGGTGCAGTCAATCAGGAAAGCGAATGTAATGTTGACTTTTATTTCAAGGGGTTGGAGAATAAGCAGGGAAATACTGTACAAGGTGTTGGAGAGACCACATCTGGTGTAGTCTTCTTATTTAAGGAAAGATATCATTTCATTGGAGGCAGTTCAGAGAAGGCTCGTTAGGATGATCCCTGGTTTTGGGATTATCTTATGAGCAATGACTAAACAAGATGGGACTCTACTCGCTGTGGTTTATAAGAATTAGAGGTGATCTAACTGAAACATATAGGATACTTAAGGGGCTTGACAGGGTAAATGCTGAGAGGATGTTTGCCCTCATGGGAGATTCTAGGGCCAGACTGCATTATCTCAGAATAAAGGGTCACCAATTTAAGAGTGAGATGAGGAGGAATGTTTTCCTGAGGGTTGAGAGTCGAGAGTCTTTAGAACTCCTTGTTACAGACAGCTGTGGGAGGCAGAATCCTTATGGATATTTATGGCCAAGATTGCTAGATTTTTGATCCACAGGGGAATTGGCAGGAAAGTGGACACGAAGAATGTCGGATCAGTCATGATCCTATTGAATGGCGGACCAGGCTTGAGGAGACAAATGGCCTACTCTTGTTCCTATTTCTTATGGTGTTATGAAGTTCTTTAGTCTAATCTATGTGAACATTAAAAACAAATTTTTAAACTTTAAAGTGATTACTGCGGTTTAGTTTTCACTCATTTCAATAAACTAGTTAAATTTTACACCACATTTTTACCTGCTTGAAGGTAAGCTGTATGGCTTCATACTTTCTCAACTCCAGTACGTTCATAAGTTCCATAATAGATTTGTGGCCACGATCAAGCTCTTCCTGACGTTTCATAAGTTTCTCCTTCTGTTCAGAGAAATTCACAAACTGGTCCAGGGCTTTCTTGTTGACATGGCTGTACTTCTTCAACTCCTGATTACATTGTTCCAACTTTCGGAACAGCTGTAGAAAGCAAATGGAAAACAAAAACAGTAGAAATTTTCTTAGAAAAGGCAGACCAGCAAAAGAAGTTTTGTCGATTCAAGATCAACAATGGGTTACAAGTGCTGTCAAACTGAAAGTCTACAGTCTCAGTGACATCCACATGGCAGACAACAAATGTCACATGTAACCGAAAAAAAATTAGAATAAACTCAGTTATATTCAAAACTATTTCCAGAAAGTAGATATAAAACTGCAGTTTAAGATAGTATGAAGCTTTCAACAGAATGGATTCTGTTAAGCATTACCTAACCATTACTTCCTAAAGCAATTCTAGTTATCTGGATGCCGACTGACACATGTTTTAGTTCTCAAAAAGTCAAAGCATATTATGAGTACATTATACACATTATAAGGCAAAACAAAATCTATGTAGAATGATGTGTGGAGAAATATTTTGGCAGAAATATATATAGGAATATTTGATATTTGATAATTGAAAAAGGTGCACATGGAATGGATATTAACTGAAAAGTATGTAAATCAGCAATTTGTTATTTTGAACTTTTGTTGCGTATGTGCATTATATAAAACAGCTTAGTTATCTCTATGCTTGAGAAGTAGGTGATCTCATTTAAATTCAATATTATTATGCATTATGTTACTACAGATTACAGATGTGTAATAAATAGTAGATGCTGCACCAGAACTAGACATTTTATGTCTTATTAGTAAAAATCACAACCGTTTTCAAACCACTTTAAAATGAAGTGGCAACAAAAGAGAGATCTGTCAGATTTTACATATAAAGAAACTCAGTTTTGAAAATCATGCTTAAAGAAATAAAACCAGGTTTCAAAAACAATTTCTGAATTTCTTTTACACAAATAACCATTATGATTTCTACCTCAACCCAACCAAAAAATCCTAGAACATCCAGTAGATCTCTTTGAAATTGCAAGGATCACAAGAATATAGAATACGATCATGTTGTTTTAACAAATCTATGCATCAACACAGTCGCTCTGAATTTTACATTGTCATAACGTCTCTGAAATTTTGCTTTCAATAGGATAAATTATCAAAATTGTAGCTATCAGAACAGGATGGAATGCCTTGAAGAAATTCCTTTGTCTCAATGCATCAGCCTCAATGTTTAATAAATAGAAATAGAGAATTTGTAAGTCTTTATGGTGGATTTCCAAAACAAAATTACAACTGCAAAATAAATATTTGAAGAAAAATGTAGAAGAATCTAGTTTAAAACCAATTCTGAAGGGTCACCAGACCCGAAACGTTAACTCTGATTTTTCTTCACAGATGCTGCCAGACCGACTGAGCTTTTCCAGCAATTCGTCTTTGTTCCTAGTTTAAAATTAACTAATTTCCTAGAATCAGATCTTTTGCTTTCTGTCAATTGATTACTTAGAATATTTTTGATTGAGCAGTGCTGATAGCATCATCAGGAAAACTCGCCAAGTATATGTACAAGGGAACCAAATTAGCATCAGCAGCAATACAGTCATTGCTTCAGTGATAAGGTCATTTCAATTAGACATTATCTCAACTCCCTCAGCAGCTTCTGCAAACTTGCTCCTCTCAATGAAATCATCAGCCCACACTGCAAAAGAAAATTTAAAAAATGCAGAAAAAAAACTAATCTACATACGTCACTTTGCTTCCAAGTTATTCAGTGAAATAATCTGGCATATTTCTAAGAAACACAGTACGTCACTGCATAAGCAAGTCAGGTTCAATTATACATTTTGTAACTATTTTTCTACATTGAGAAAAAAGAGGAAAACGGGCTGCTTGAAATCGCCAAGGACCTGCTTTCAGTGCAAGTGTAATTTTAGTGTGTAGAAAGTATTTACTATTGTAGTTAGGGAAGGCATAGTTCAACTGGACACATATCCTAGCAACAAACAAGTATAGCTCCATTATGGCATGTCTTGCCTTGGCACAGAAAAAGTATAACTGCAAGTACTTGAGGCCAATAGCACCTGGTTTCCAAAACTTGCTCTTCTCACATCAGCTCAGACAATGAGCTATCTGACCAGTTCTGTCAGAATTGATGTTTCTTAAAGAAAGGGGTAAGGGTGGCAACACAAAAAACAAAATCCTGACTATGATTTAAAAGGCTATAACCCTCCAACCCTGCCCATGCAACACCACTGCAGCATCCTCCCAAGAATGTTAGTGTCAGTGAAGCTCCCCCTTTTACTGATCCAGCAGCAGCACAATTGACACACAATATTTCTTGTTCCAATATTCTGCCTGGAAGTTCAGAGAAAAATGAAATCAAATCATACTCTTACCCTAACAATCTTTTAAGAAACTGCAGGTTTCACCAAATAAAACAGTTCGGGTCTCCAGGTTGTTAAAAGTATAGAGACACATTGTAGAAGATACGAAAAACATTTATGAAAATGACACTTCAACAGAAGTAACACAGATCAGCAAAGATTGAACAGACTGAGTTCCTTCCTCTAAAAAAAACTAACAAAATCTACAAGAATGTAGAAAGGTTGTTGTAAAGAAGATATTCCCACTTGCAGGGAAGACTGGTAATAGGTGTCATAAATATAAGATATAGTCTCTAGTGAAAGTAATAAGGAATTTAGGAGAACCTTTTCTTTTAAACCCAGAGTGTGGTTGGAATGTGAAACTCGCCACCTCGGGAGATTGTTGAGCTCAATAGCAAGAATGATAATGGCATGTTTTGCGCATTGCATCCGTGCCAACACTCTGCAAGATCCAGTTAGCTAGTCCCATTCACTATGTTTGCCCAGTATTACCTTTTGTTCTTCAAGTGCTTGCCCACTTCAAAGAAACATTCAAATGGAAGCTGGATGTGCACATGGGAAAGAAAGGGATTCCTGACGAGGTTAGAAGAAGGTGGAGGAGAGGAACATGTGCAGCATAAACGTTGACATTGATCTATTAGGCTGAATGGCAGCTTCTGTGCTACAATTTGTAGTGTGTAACACAAAGTACCTGCTGCCTCAGTTAACCTGCAGAGGGTGCTCCTTACATTCTACTTACTTTCAAGGAACGAATCACTCTCTTACTTCAAAGTTTAACTTATGCAATCAGTCACCTCAGAGTACTAAAGCCACATTCTGTCGCATGTATAATTTATATGCAAAACCATTCAAGTTCAGCAAATTCCCTAATTTTCAGCAAGACAGAACTTTAAAAAAAATCAAGCCACTTCTAATCGAGCACCTTTAAGAGAAAGGATCAACTATCCAAGGGTATTACCTGTTTAAGACTCAGCGTTTGGTATTTTTCAAAAGCCTCTTGCGGCAATGAGCCCAATTCTCTGATTTTCTTCATGCATTCCTCTTTTTTCTTCAGCAGCATACCCTGCCGGTTTGTCATCTTCTCCAGCTCCTTGGTATCATGGTTGATGGCTTCCATGTGATCTTTCTCCATTGTTTTCCACCGATCCATGCTTTTTTGTCGATCTTTGGTTTCTGCTTCTATTTTGTCTATCAAACTGTCCAGTTCTGCAACATACATCTTTTACTTTAGTGAAGAATTAATTTTTGAAGATTAAAAAAATACAAACATACACTTTTTACCTTAAGTGAATCCTTCAAGCATTTAATTATCCTAATGCAATATCTGTGTGGTAAAGGTAAAGTTTACACAGTCCTACTGAATCTGAAGCTGCTCTATCATTACAGAGAGTCACCTGTTTGTGATTTAACCCAAGGGTCAACATTCTCAGCAAGGGGAAGACGTTGAGAAGGACAGTCCTTCACGGTAACCTCAGCCAGTGCGGGAATTGAACCCATGCTGTTGGCATCACTCTGTATTGCAAACCAAGTGTTCATCCAACTAATTGAGGTCTACAAAATGGTGAGGGGCATGGATAGGAGAGACAAGAAACTACTTTTCTTTAACGGAGGGGGTTAATAATCAGAGTTATAGATTTAAGATAAGGGGCAGGAGGTGTAGAGGGGATTTAAAGAAAAATGTTTCTATCCATGAAAATCACTGCCTAAAAAAGGGTGGGTCGAGGCAGGAGCCATCACATTTAAGAAGTATTTAGATGAATATGTGAAAACTCACAGCATACAAGGCTACAAGTCAAATGCTGGGAATTGGGAGAAGTGTAGATAGGTGCTTGATAATCATGACATAGACAATAAGATGAAGGGCTCTTTCTGTGCTATGATACTTTATGACTCTATAACTAATATTAAATTTAGGCAATGAAACATCACAAATTGTATCTTGTGTATTATTCATCTGCGCACTCAAGATCATTCAATTTTACTTTAAAAATGATCTCTGGTTTGTCAGTTTTGATGGTCTCAGACAGTAACACAAGGGAGCTGTAATTCCTGAGCCACCCCCAAAATACAATCCCTACATACGAAAAGTTCATACAGCGTCTCAATCATTCAATAAGATTACGAGTGAATTTCACCATAGTTTATTGCTCAATTCCTAGATCCCTCAATTTCCTCAAAGCCCAAGAATACATTGATCAGGCTTGAGTGTCCACAGTGCTCCAGGGTAGAGAATTCTAACAATTCACAATCATCTGAAGAAACTCAACCAAATCCTAAATGACTGCTCCCTTAGTCTTAGCACATCTCCTTGTTTCAGATTCTGCGACGAGGGAGAAAGCATCTCAACATCTTCCCTGTCAAATAATCTCAGAAATTTGTACATTCCATTCTAAGCACTCCTACAAACTCTAGAGATCATAGGTCTATTTCACCCAACCTACCCCTGTAAGACAATGATTTCCAGAATGAAAATAATTTAGTGAATCTTCATTGGTCCTCATATACAAGTAAATATATGCTTCTTTACGTATGGAGAGCAAACTGAGCACAATTTTGCAGATGTGGTCTCACCAAAGTCCTCTACAACCACAGAAAACCCTCAAAACTTTTGAATCCAATTCCCTTGCAATCAAAGCCAACATACCAATTAACTTCCTAACTGTTAACTGCTTCTTGTATCTGGATGCTTATTTTCTACTTTCTGTACAAGGACCCCCAAACCTCTCTAAATACCAATATTTAATCTTAACATTTAAAAGAACCTGCCCTTCTATCAAAGTGAATTACCTCATTTTCCACACATTATGACACACTTTTCTTCATACACCTAACTACCTATATCTCTACATGTTCTCCTCACAGATTACTTTCTCAGCTACCTTTGTACTGTCAATAAGTTTGGATACATTATTCGTGATCCCTTCTTGAAATCAGTAATATAATTGATGCCGAGCACTGATCCTTGCAGGATCTCGTTAGGAGTCCATCAATATGAACACGGCCAATTAATTCTTACTCAAATTTCATGCTCTGTAACAAATCCTTTATCTGAAAGACTAGAAGACATAGGAGCAGAATTGGGCCATTCACCACATTAAAGTCTCCTCCTCCATTCAATCATGGCTGATAATGTCTTTCAACCTCATTCTCCTGCCTTCTCTTATGTCTGTATTTCTTTCATATTGCTTGCTAGCTTACCTTCATATTTCATCCTCTCCCATTGATTGGTTTTTTAGTTATCCTCTGCTGGCTTTTCCAGACTTCTCAATCCTCTGGCTTTCCAGTAATCTTCACCACAATGTATGTCTTTTCTTTTGCTTTTATACTGTCCTTGAATTCTCCTGTCAGCCACAGCTGCCTCATCCTCCCCTTTGTATGGTTCTTCTTCCTTGGGATGAACTTCAGTTGTGCCTCCCAAATTATTCCCAGAAATTCCTGCCATTGCTGCTCCACCTTCTTCCCCGTGAGGAGCCCCTTCCAGTCAACTCTGGCCAGCTCCTCTTTGTAGTTTCCTTTACTCAACTGTAATATTGTTGCATTTGATTCCAGCTTCTCCCTCTCAAACTGCACGGTGAATTCTATTCTTCACCTTAAGCTTCCTAATCAGGTCTGCCTCATTACACATCACCAAATCCTGAAATCCCTGCTCCCTAGTGGGCTCTACCACAAGCTGCTCCAAAAAAAATCTTGTAAACCTTCTACAAATTCCTTTTCTGGGGGACCAGCTACCAACCTGAATTTCCCAGTCCACCTACATATTGAAGTCCCCTACGATTACTGTAATAGTGCCTTTGTTACATGCCTTTTCTGCCCCACATCCTGACTATTGCTAGAAAGCCCGCACATAAAGACCCTGATGGGAGTTGTTCATTTGCGATTCCTCAATTTTACCCACACAGATTCTATACCTTCTGACCCTATTTCACTTCTTGCTTTTGATTCAATTTCATTTTTTACTAAAAAGGCAACTCCACTCCCTCTGCACATCTACCTATCCTTTTGATAGGGTGCACACCCTTGGTCTGGATTCCCTTGCAACTACATTTCAGAGATGCCCACAACATCATACCTGCCAATTTCAATCTGCATTACAATCCACACTAAAAAAACACACCCAAGCCATGAGCCCTTACCTCAAGCAACAACTTTCAATGTGGCATCTTCTCAAACACCTTGCAGAAATATAAATATATTACTATCTTGCTGTTTGCATCCTCAAACAAAAACCTCATTTATTAAAGATAAGAGACAGTAAGAACTGCCGATGCTGGAGTCTGAGATAACACAGTGTGGAGCTGGAGGAACACAGCAGGCCAGGCAGCAGAGGAACAGGAACAGGAACAGTTCCTGTTCTTCTGATGCTGCCTGGCCTGCTGTGTTCCTTTATTAAAGATAATTTGTCTTTCATAATAGTTTGCTGACTCTAGTTAATCATATAGCAGTTTATTAGTTGCTCTATTATTGCTTCCTTAATAATGGATTCCGCCATTGACTGACGTTGGGGTAAATGGCCTGTTGTTCCTGGTTTTCAGTCTCCCTCCTTTCTTAAATAGAAGCTGTATAGTTGCTACCATCCAATCCAAAAGAAATGTTCAAGTGCTTAGGGAATTTTGGAAAATCACAATCGATGCATAGATTATTTTAAAATCATCAGATGTTGATCATTATGTCCATTAGGGGACTTGTCAGCTTTCAACCTCAAATTTCTCCAATATTTCACTTTGAAGTCTCGCATTCTCCTCAGTCCCAGACTTTTCTCGCACCTTCAAATATGCAGGGTCACACAATATTTGTTTAACATTCGCCTCCTGATCTTATATAACAGACACCTGCTGGAAGTCAGGTGAGAGAAGAACTGCATTAGATTATGTTGCTCCAGTGGAAAAATTACCAGATAAAATTTGTTGTAGACAATCCAACACCGGCTCGGTAAGCGAGTCTATAATCTCATCCACAACCTGAGCTACAAATCTTCTCAAAAACTTGTATATTAATTAATCATAAATAATTTGCCAGTCATGTGTAAATTATTCATGTGACGTAACTAATACACAACCTGAAGAAGTCAGAAGCAGTTTTACTGTTGATGAGCACAGGTGTATCCCAATGACTACACTTATACTGGTGCACCTTATCGAATATGCACAGAAGATGCTATAAAATAATGACAAACAGTTCCTTATATACTAATGACTTCAATATTAATGTCAGAAAGAAATTCTTCACAAAATGGCAGTGCAAATCTGGAAGTCTACCTGTTGAGGTTAGATCAATTGAAAATGTCAAAACATCCTCAAGAGATCCTCCTGGTGCCCTGCCAATATTTATCTCTCAACCACATCTCCAAAACAGATAAAAGCAAAATACTACAGATGCTGGGAATCTGAAAAAAGGAAAAAGCTGTAGAAACTCAGCAGATCAGACAGCATCTGCTGAGAGAGAATTGAGAGTTAATGTTTCAAGTTCAAAATGATTAAGTCAACTTATATTGGACTCGAAAGGTTAACTCTGTTTCTCTCTCCACAGATGCTGCCAGACCTGCCGAGTTTCTCCAGCTTTATCGGTATTTGCTTCACCAAAACAGATTAGCTGGTCATGAACACCGCAGTTTTGGGGCCTTGCCGCAATCAAGCGGCTATTGCATTTTCTCTATTACACTTCAAAAGCGCTTCGTTAATTATGAATCCCAAGGAACATTCTGACAAATGCCATATAAATCAAAGTTGAATTCAGCTGAACTCCTAAAATCTAACCTGCTGCAACATTCAACTTTATTTTTAGAAAGCAAGTTAGGATTCTACCTCAATTAAAGCAAAAAACCAACTAGGTGTGAAAGTCACACTTTAAGCATTGATGAAAACAAATCAGAAAACATAAATTGCAATAGTTCTAACCTTCTGCACGTGCTGTAGTCTCTCTCACCCGTTTATTAATGTTCTCTAGTTCAGATGTTGTGGCATTTAGAACAGTATTGCCCTCAGTTTCTCGCAGGTCATTTAACTCCTAAGTAAAGGAAACATGCAACCAATTAAATTTGAGTGCAATACCCTTCTTGTTTGATGTATACTGGAAAAAGGCATGGTAAATTCTCATACCGCACAGCTGCTCTTATTACAATAAAGCAAACCAAAACATGGATCAAGCATTTTCATGGGAAGTGTAATAAAACTTTCATATCTCACTGTAAAACTATTCACTTACCTCTAAAATTAAACACAGTCAGTCAATCTAAGTTACTACAGCAAAAATTTCTGATCCTCTTAAACGTGACTACTAATTAGTGGCAAATTATAGAATATTGCATCATTGACTTTAAGTCCACTGAAAACTACAAAAATCATTTCACTTAGAACTCTTGCAATCATTCGTAAGAGATTTTTAATCGCATATTTATCAGTATAATCCAAACTAATGTGTTAAAATAAAAGCAATCACCCTGTTATTCAACAAGTCATCAAATTTGATATACTTTACTTACATCATGTTCACTTTTGATTTTTACTGTTAGTCACGTTCAAGGATCAGCAAGACTGGAATTCAGTGATGTGTTTTGGTACTAATAGTTACTCTATATATGGTTTTATTCAAAAGTCAAAGTTTCTGTTACATTGACTGTCAATTAAATCTGATCAGGAATCATTATTTTAGATAAATGTCAACTTAAAACGTTGAAAGATGGGCAGTTGGCATGCTGAAAATAGAGATCAGATCCATTAATCAGTGCACAGGACTTTGGAGATATGTCAAAATGATTGAAACTTAGAAAAATCTTTAGCCTGGATTAAACTTTTCCCAAACTATATGAAATATTATGTAATTAAGTATTTGTTACAGTACAAATCTCAAGCATGTATTAACAATTAACCAAAAAAGTTGCGTTACCTGCTCAACCTGGTCCAAGCGCTTTCTTAAATTTTCACTGAGGTAAGTCTCCAATCTGGTCATTATACCTTCCAACTTAATTCGTTCATTTAATAGCTGACGGTTATCCTAGAGAGACAAACAAATCTTTTTAAAGTCGTGAATCTGGCCAAGATTAGGTGAATGAATAATGTTGATTAAAAATCCTCTCTTTTCCACCTTGAAGCAACAGAAATCTTCCAAGGTGTCATCCAAAGGTACTAGATCATAAAATCACTAGACCAATACTTTTTTATTTATCCATATTTGCATGACCTGACACATACTACATTAAAATTTCTACTGTCTCAAACCACCATCGTCACTCATCAAGGCACTGTTGCACTTCTTTTTAATACTCTGAAGATTTTCAGATTTGTAAGGGATCACCAATTACTTCTAAACCATTCTGACCATTCCTTCTGATACCAATACTGTTTGAATGCTCATTTATAACATTCAAAGAATGGCCTCAGGCATTTTGTTCATTACGGATGAAAGCTTTTCTCTAAACATGGCAATTAATTTCAAGATGGATCTTTTAAAATTAAAAGTACTTCTGCTGATATGAATTCAAGTAGCAATGACCTCTCAGAAAATGCTTTCACTTTCCCTTTCTAACCAACAGTAACTTCCCTTTCACCTTAGTTTTAGTTTTTTTTTTAAATTGCTGAAATTTGCAAGCAGTCTGAAGAAAATGGGATCTCACATCTCCAAAAATCATACCTGTTGGAGCTGTCGGATCTCATCGTTGAGTGCATCAACTCTTTTTTGATCATCCAAGCTAAGCTGAGAGAGCAGGTCTGTACCAAGCTCAGCTTTTAGGGATTCCCGTGTTGACTCCATTGCATGCAAACTGGCCTCTAAACTCTGCAAACTCCGTTGCTGTATAAACAAAACAGAAAGTTGGCATTACAGATATTACCTAGTCATAACCATAATTTCTGAATTACAGTTCAAACTTTCAACAAGAGGAACTTGCGTATCACACTCGAGTTAAAATGGTACTGAAAATGATAGCCAAGACTATCAAAACCAAAAACAGAAGTTGCTGCAAAGCTCAGCAGGTCTGGCAGCATCTGTGAAGAGAAATCAAAGTTTTTGTTTTGACTCTGGTGACCCTACCTCAGAACGAGACTATCAATTTCTTTGTATATTAAATGTGCATTTTGCTTCATTCAATTCCATTATTTTACCTGCTGCTAAATGAACTAAACACTTGTGTTTTACAATGTTCCAGACTGAAATACTGATGCAGAAATCACCATAAAATATTTCATGATTTGGAAGTCTTGTACTAGAATTGACCCACTGGGCAGAACTTTCCTCTATTTTTAGTTCAAGTGTTTTGTTGAGTGAGAATCTAATGTGGATCTTGCTTTTTGTGCATCTCTTTTGCAGACATAACTTTGTATTCCTCGCTCTGCTCAATCACCCCATGATCTTTGTATGTTATGATGTGCCTCTACCTACACACAAAACAAAACTTTTCACTGTATTTAGGTACATGCGACAATAAGAAATCAAATCAAATGAACCCTGGTCTGCCACATACCACAGCAGATTTTCTCATATAATCCTCCTCTCTCCACCACACTAATTATGCAACTTGGATGCCTTTCTCAGGGAAATCATGATTGGAGAGACAGAACAATTCACCAAGGCCAGAACCCGGTTTTCACACTCATAATGACACCATATTTAAAGTCTAGCTGCACATCACTTCAGATGCTGCAAGTCTGGAATAACTGTTCATATTGTGGTGCTTGAACCTTTATGTTCAGGACATGATCCAGAGGAATTGAAAGCTTGCTCTTCATTTCATGGACAGATACCTGGAGGTCTTGATGGAGAGGGTGGTTGATAAAGGGCAGTCATTTTTCCAGCTGACCAGACAAGAGGTCACGCAGGCCTTCAGTGATATCAGTGCTGTGCCCCAAGTCAAGCAGGATCCCCAGTTGTGCAGGAAGCTCTGCAAGGGTAAGTGCCACCATCTTCTCTCTGTTACCTCACACTCTTGGGGCAACCATTTGCTGTAACTGCCTCAACACACACCTCTCACCAAGGTTGACAGACTCTCACTACTACGTCCACCATGTTCAATTCAATGGTTCTCAGCCACCTCACCTTCTCAAACTGCTAACCGTTCCTGCTGTGTTTCTTACTCACTGGGAGCACCTACTCCATCATGTCTCCTGTTCAAGCGTCCCCCCCTAATTGCTCTTCCCTCATGATCAATCCCTCACTGTCTCATTACGGTACAAATTGGCAAACCTCCCAAACTGAGGTTTTAACAGTACCCTAAAAACAAACAGCTCCAGACTGTTTTCACTGATCTGCAGGGCTGACGTGACCCAATCCCTGGATTATGAGAATACAGATCCTTGACTGACCATTGCAAAACCCTTCAAGTATAATCAGACAGGCTTCTCGACTGATTGTGGCAGTATCCCATGACTAACAACAGTCCATCTTCAACCCATTAAGGACTACTTCCACTTGACTGACACAACATATCTACTCCCTTTACTGTTCACACTCCCCACTGTCAAAAGTTGCATGCCTGACCCTCTGCACTAAAGAGCAGTGCAAGAGACTGCAAGAGCACAAAGGACCCTATGAGCTGAGAAAACATCATGATGCACGCAGATCACACATCAGTGGCGAAGTTACTGAGTATGTGTTGAGAAAACAATGCGCAATAGCTGGCAGTTCCAAATAAGTGTAAAGTAAGTGAGCACCAAGAATGCAAGCCAACAGCTACCAGATGCATCATGATTATGTGTATGCCCCAATGGACAAAGTAACCTGGCATAAGTATGCAAGTCAAAGGTGCCCCTAAACTCCAAAGGGCTTAAGTGGTGCCTGAATTGGGCTGGCAGCAGGCATAAATGATATGGTGAGGCTCACAGCTTGCCAATGCCAACTTGCAGTGACAAAGGATCATGAAGGATGGTGGCCATTGAACATACAGGTATAATGCTGTTCAGAAGCAGTTGGATAATGTCTAGGCCAAACATTTGACAAGCTGCAGCTGTTTGGCACCTGCTTGGCACCTGCTCCGATTTACATCAGGAAGTTGTCCCATCCAGTTTTCCAGGGAAGGAGAGCAGGATTATAAGTGGCAAACAAATGCTGAGAGTTGGAGCCTGAATGACATGCAAATGCATGGAAATAAGGCAGTCAATGCTTAATGGCAAGATTCTGAAGTTATCATTTAAGATTTGGGTAAGGAATGCAAAAACTTTTTCATGACACAGAGATTGATTTTTTTCAGAATGATTGCACTCTGTCAACATAGCGTATATCAGAGCAGAGAAGGGAAAATTCTGCCATTCTCTACTAGAAAATCATTTCAGTACTGCTGAACTATAATTATATACAAGGTGCAATGCAACCCATCAGCAAGGTTCCTTCAAAAATACCGTACAAATCTACAATCTCTACCACCTTGGACTGGACTAGAATTTTCACAAGTTAATAGCTGAAATCTAGTGAAGATGGGGCTTATCAGCTGCCAGCCTTACTGAATCCCAGTAGTTGTAATTTCTGGCTGCAGCCAGCTACATGGGGCTTGCAAATCAGGAGGTGGTCTTGGCTCAGTTGAAAACAATCTTGATTCAGATGTTCGCAACAAACAACTGCACCTCCCAGTCGCGAACCATTTCAACTCCCCCTCCCA